AAATATATTTTTTATATATATGTATATACGTACATGCACACACACACACACACATATATATTATATATAATGTGAGACATTTTTCAGTGCTGGTCTGAATGACTCTTAAACGTCATGCCTAGGAGCGCTCGCGCACACAGGGCCCTGCTGGGAAAATGCTAAACTGGTGCTGCCGGGAGAAGAACCTCTTCCCATGCACTAAAGACACCACCAGAGCCACGGAGGCGTTTGCAAAACCCGAGGTGGCTGCTTGGTGCTGACCCCAGCAGTAGAGGACTGCAAAGGACACGATGCAGTCAGGTCCACATCCAGCACCTCGGGAGCTGAAACAGTTGAAAGGAGAATGGGGAACCTCAGCCTTGTCCCTGGTGAGCGGTCTTGGCTTCGGTCACGTTTTGGCTGAACACCTTGTCCATGGTCTCTTCCTGGAGAAGTCTTTGCTCAGAGCCAGGAGGAGGTGCTGCTTTTTCGACAGAGATGGATCTGTAGGATAGCAGAGGGAAGTGGAGGTTATGCTTAGGCTCAGGAGAGGCACACTAGAGCAGCGGGGTGGCAGCTGGGCAGCCCGGGAACCTGATCCTTCAAAGAGAGGAGCAGGCCAAGCATGGTACAATAGCCTGAAAATCCATCCATCAGGTGGGGCTGAATGCTTTGGGGCATCAGAACACGCGGGATTAAGATTTCCACGTGCTGCGTCTCAGGCCCCGGTTAGGATTTTGACCCCTTTTCCTACCCTGAGGAAGGCACTTCTTGTAGCAGTGCCCACCCTGAGAGGTGGAGCGAGGTAACATCAGAAACAATTCGCTCCTTGAGGTTTTTAATAGAAGCAGGGCTGTGTTGTCATTGTGCAACTATGGCATGAATACGGGCTTTTAAAAACGTCAATCCAACTCAGAATTTAGCTGCAACATGCTATAGGCGTGCACCTAACTTACAGCATGCAGGGACACCTGAAATGAGGTACTGGGACCAGCTTGGAGCAGGCTAAGTAGATCTCATGATGTTACCGTCTGAGCACTGTTGTAAGGTGTGCAATGTAGTAAAACTTGAAACAGCAAATGCCCCAACAGGTGTTGATACTCTAGCTTTATATGTGTTGCCTGGATAAATTAGTGCCCTGCACCTCTCCCTGCAGCAGCCGATAGAAAAAGCCTTTGAACAGCGCGTTGCTAAGCCATGCCCAGCTGCGGTAGGGTGTAGTCAGTGGCGTTTCCCAGCTGTTTCATTTACTTTAACAGCCTCCTTGCTCTTGCCTGCCCCTTACAGCTGTCTGCTGTGGCTATTTCATGATGAAAAGGCTCTTTGGAGCCATTTCAGCTATGGAAAGGGAGGTTGCATTGTGTCAGGACTGAGCCCTGTAGCAAAGCTGGTGGGAGCAAGATGCAAATTCCTCCTGGGGGACTGCCTCCAAATGTCTCCTGCTCCAATGGAAAGGCAAGTTCTGCATATCCTCTCCTTTTTGCCCCAAATCACATCTAGCGACAGGAGTGCTGCTTTGGGTTAATGCAGTCCCTCTTTCAGAGATCGCAAAAGTGACTACACAAAAAAAATTCAAGTGTAGCAGAAGTGCTCTGCAGGCTGTGGGGCAGCACGCAGGAGCCTGTGCTGCACTGTTCAGATGAAAACCTTGCGTGGTGTTGGACCTATGCGTGCTTTGGGTCTCGGTTTTCGCTTGAGCTGGGACCCCACTCTGTTCGCCGCTGCCGGGGCGAGGAGCGAGATACACAAGGGTGTCCGTTTTATCACAGTGTTGAAGGATCGAGGGGAATGGGTTGGGGTGGGGGTGGGTGGGGGGGGTGAGAAGAAAAATACTTCCTTTGGGAAACCAGAACTGGTGGAAAAGAGTGATTGTTTTGGGGAGGGCAGGGTCTCAAGTCCTCTGTCTTCCTACTAGCTGGCTTATGCAATGGGTGGACCGAAGCTTGTCTCTGTGCGCTCCGGGGCAAGCTCCCAAACTTGACTGTGCCGCTTCCGCAAAGCGGCTTCACTGGCCAAGTCTTTCCACTGTGTGGCAAGAGCCTCTGGGATTTATTGCTTTGTCGTGACCTCATTTCCGTTCGGTTTCCTTTGGAGTGCGTGTGCGCGTGCCTGCCTGTTTTTTTAATGCCGGAAGATTTAGCGTCCCATATCTTTTCCCTCTTGCTTTCTTGGAAACAGCTTTTTAAAATCCTGATGCCTTCCTCAGCTCCACGAAATGCAGCGCACCGGGGGCTTGATTTGTGTAATCAAGCCTTGCTGCAAAGTGCCCTCACGAAGCAATCTTGTTGGAGAGCAGAAATACCGAGGGTGAATAATAACTCTTCTAACCTTAAGCAAATTGTTAGCCCCGGCTCAATATCCTTTGTAATGAAGTCTGTACTAGTCTACTCGACTTCATTTAATATAAAGGCCTTACTTGACCAATATGACAATAAAGGTGAATACCACGTGGTGTACATCTGGCTTGCTAATACTGGAGTCAATGCTATTGTCATCATTTAAAAGAAAATACCTTTTTTTGAAGTGAAGCTTGGGGGTGTGATTAGAAGTTATTTTTTTCACATTGTAACATTAATTTATGGCCGAGTTTCATTCAGCCCTGTATTTGGAAGTGCAGTGCAGGTATTAGTGGTGTGTTGTCTGTAACATGGTACTATAGAATAGCCAATTTGTAAAAAACAAAAAAAAAAAAAGCCCCAAAAGCAAAACCTAAAAGCAAAAAAAAAACCCACAAAAACCTAAAATCTGAAAAAAAAAGGTAAATCAAGTATTTTATGGTATGTACAACACAAATTAATTTTACACAGAGAAAGATGTTTCTAGGAAAATGAAATTCTGATAATTCATACTATTTGTATGAACAAATAAAAATATATTTTACCAAGCGATGGACACGGTTGTATTCATTGAAAACCATGGAGGCAGCGGTAGCCTCGCCAGGTTGGGTTTGGTAGCGCCCGGGGCTGCGTTCGGCCTCCAGCCATTGCACGTGCGTCCCGTCAATGTCTAGGCAACCTGTGCCGGCCTCGTGGCAAAGCCTCAAAGCAGACGCCGAAGCCAGCAGGATTTAATCCGGTGCGTGAACGTCTCTCCAGCGCAGGGCCGTGTCTGGGAGCCGGCGGCCTCGCTGGATGGTTAACACGTGCGTAAGGGCTTTGCCGAATCCCACGTGGGTTGATGTGTCCCATCGAACGCCCCTTCCTCCAGCCGGGTCTCGGTGCGGTGGACCCGCGGGCTGGTCTTCGGCCCCTCTGGGAAAAGCGGATGGTCTTGGCAGCTGGCAAGAGGGTCAGTGCCTTCCTGTGTCGGGGATGTTGTAGGATAAAGCTGGTCCCTCCTGGCCAGCGTCAGGCAACATTGCTTGTGCCGCGTTTCTATTTGAAAGCATTGCACTTACTGCTAGGGATGCTGGGCCAAACCCCTGGAGCCAGGAGTTGCTATTGCTTCCTACACGCTTAGCACTTGAATGTATAAAAATACATTATCATTAAATGCAAAAGAGTCCCAGGCCAGTGCTATACAAAGCAGTGCCTAAAGAGCATTATAGATTTACATAATGTAGCAAATGCTGCTTAACTAAACTGAATTACAATCATTTGATTCTTCTTAGCAAGTTTTGCCTCTGCTGCGCAGTAATTGATGGATGGGAGTCTCAGACTCGTTCAGTTTTCATAGGCTTTGTGTAAAAGGAGTTAGGACTAAACACAACATTCTCTGCAAGGATCTAGGAAGAATTAGGCCTGAAGCACTTGTGAAGACTGAAATTAGCTGCTCCCAAACTCTGGCAGTGTTTACATTTTGTAGATGCCTCACTTTTTAAATACACACCTGCTAATTTCACTTTAAAACGCCCATGTAGCATTTGAACTGCGCTGCTGGTTGTGCCGAGAACTGACTGCATTGTGATGGAGTAGAGCAGCTTGTTGCCTCATCGACGCCTCACCTTGGCCGGGATTTAAAGGCAGGCGCGCCGGGGCTACTGCCAGATGTCAGTCCTGCAGGCACCTGGGAAACCAGCTCAGCCTGGTCCTATCACCTTAGGGCTCTTTCCTACGTAGGAGACAAGAACTTGAGGAAGCTGAGGTGGGGGAGGGAAGGGATGTGGGCTTTCCTGTGTCCTGCTCAAGCACTAGGCTGTTGGGTGGCACTGCTGTCTCCCATTCCGGTGTTTAGAAAAACCTACTCAGTTCTCAGATGGGAAGAGTGTAGGTGCTTTTTTCCTTCATGGAGGGATCAGTGCTGCAAAGGAAGGGGAAGGTGTTGCCTCGTGTTTCTAGGTAAGTCCCTGTGAAATGGGGTTTATCATCTGTCCTGTCCTCTGCATATCCCTACTGATGACTCCTAGGTGCACCTGGGCTTGTGGCTACGGGGGGATACCCACTCAGTTTGGGCTGGACCCCATTCTGAGATGCTGTTTTAGACGGGTGAGTGAACATCTAGAAGATAAGAGTCAGGATCGCCATGTTGTTTGTGGGATCAGGTCCTGAATGCAAAGAAGCACTTGCCCCAAAAGGAGATGGGCTGAAGGCTTTTTCTAATTGCTCTGAGGACTGGAGATAGCTGCTAAAGAAGAAAGCTCTTGAAGAATAACTGTTTGATGGAGAAATAAGACTGAGGCAGTTATCAAAATGCTACTGGTAATGATGGTGATA